AACCCGCGACTAGCTAGTATTAAGTACTGAAAATATTCAATACCGGCGGCTGCAACCGCTCGTTTCCTAGCACCAAGCACCACAAATTTCCAAACGATCGTTTCAATAATGATATTTTCATTTGCAAGTTGAGTTTAAACGGCGCAATAAACTCTCTAGTATTGTAGCTACATTAACAATAACTGCTTCCTACGTATAATGGCAATGTTCGAGTGGGGTCCGACTAATTTCACAATTAAAATAATGAGTGAACTGGCATCGTTTTATTGTTATTTTACTGTGCATTCCGTATCGCACGGATTAAAGTCGTTTTAAAATTTTATGTCCGACGTTTAAGTTTTGGCAATAAAAGGCTTACATTGCTTTTAAACAGTTACTGTAATATGTTACTCTTTTTGTTTTTTAATAATGAATTAACAATCCGTTTTCTTTTTAATGTGTTGTAGTGACCCTACTTGCTGTGCCAGCGGTCGCGGGTTCGAGTCGCGTTGGGGGATTCATTTGTCTGATGAGCACGAATGTTTGTACCCCAGTCATGGGAGTTTATATTTATATATATGTATTTAAAGTTATATATATGTGTAGTGTATCAACTACCTGATATCCATAGCACAAACCTCGTAGCTTACCATGAAACTAGATGGTGCTGTGTGTTAATGTCCCAACATATTTATATTACGAGTATATATTTGTACTATATTTATAACTTCACTAACTAAGCCGAATCTGTACATTAAATATTTTTTGGAAAATCTTATTGAAATAAACATTATTATTGATACAGAGGCCGAATCTATTATTTTTAGGATTTTTGTCTGCCTGTCTGTCTGTTACCGCATCACAGAAAAACCACTAGAGTGATTTTGATGAAATTTGGTATGGTGAGAGCTGGTTATCCGGGTCAACATGTAGGATACTTTTTACCGCGGGAAAATGTCTCATTTCTGAGAAAAAATACAAAAACTCCAATGTAAGAGTATACTAATATGTAAAACCTAAGAATTTGGTTTTTGGTCACCTGGGCGAACGTGGGCGGAGCCGCGGGCAATGCTAGTGTTTAATAAAGACTTTCGACGCGCAGGCAAAAACAAGTATGCATTTTATAAAAGGTGAATATTGTTAGTTCGTGTTTGGTCAAATATCTAGAACTATTAAAACCTCTATTTTCTAAAATTATTTCTATAATTGCATACTATTTCCACTTCCCACGATCATCTAAACGCGATGTCCAAAAATAATTTTCCAAATGATCGGTTTTCGTGTGATTTACCTCACGTACATATTATGGAAGTTTTAGACAATTTAAACTAAAATGTATGATTACGAGTATAATACAATTTCTGTAGCAACTAGTAATGGATACAATTTAAAAAATGAATTAAGTTTAAAAAGTGGCTTCTTCCTTGATTATAACCAAAAAAAGGAAGTTAAAATATCAATCTGGATGTGTTTTTGTTTGTTTCGCCATAGCTTAGGCATTTATTGATTATTAATTTTAATTATTCTCTATTTACTGAATAGGATTTCAAGGGGTTTATGTAACCATATATTTAAAAGACAAGCCAACACTAAGACTAAGTGTGTATATATTGGACACTTAGTTTACGGAAACTTAAAAGCAAATTTAAAAACGTTTTTATTTTAAATAAAACTATCTTTTCGGATTTTGTCGCGGATTTATTTGCATTTTTGTTTCCCGACGTTTCGAATGCTTTACAGCATCCATGGTCACGGGAGAGACTGAGGTGTTACATGTCTTGGATGTATAGTTGTTACAGACAGCTTACCCACAATTAACAAAATGAAAATTGCACCAATTACATTACAATATTTTTTAACTTTAAACATTTTTATAATTTTAATTATAATTGAATATGGAATATTATTTATTTAATTTTTGCTATTATTTTTATAATTATTACAATTTTAAAATATTAATTAGTAATCTATATTTAGTGTTGCCATTATTATATTTATAACCATAAAGAAAAATATAAAATATAGTGTTAATTATTTAAGCCATATAATTGTTCTATGTGTAATTTAAAAAGTTAAAGTTAATTAAGGATAATTATTTTAATTTAGTTTGCTATTATTTAAAAACAACTTACTAAGCAACACTATTACTATATACTTTTACAAATGAGAAATGAAAAATATTAATCTGATATGCTGTCATTTTGATCCACACAGTAAGAACTTACTACATCTACCTGTCTATTATGTTTATATTTATTATTTGATTTTATTATATTAATAACAGGATCCCATGACGATGGTAGTACCCAGCCATCTTCCCTGTTGAAATTAGGATGTTTTTTAATTTCTATGGCTTCTCGAATCATTCTAGGGCGATATCGGTTTTCTTTCGCCAGGATTTGAGGTCTATCAAAGCGAATGTAATGGCAAGCCATTACATCCAAGACATGACAAATCCGCGACAAAATCCGAAAAGATAGTTTTATTTAAAATGTCAAATATTCGCGTAAATCTAAGAAAGTATAACGTTTTTATTATTATTATTGTAGTTATAGTATACATACATAAAAAACACAAACAGAAATAATAATATATTTTATTCACTAATCATTTCGTGACAAAACGAAATTGTATTATAATTTGGATTGTAACCACAAGTACTATCATGATCATTATGGTAGAGACGTTCAGATGTTAGATAAATAGCTATATGGGGGGTCTCTTGTTGGTACATACATTTTTTTTTAAAATACATGCAATTATTTTCACATATTTTTGTACATTATATACGCTTCGCTCTGGTTCGTCCCTATGTATTTTTAAAATATTTAATTATTTGGATATCGTTCATACAAAAATACTAAAATTGCGTTTTAAAAATGGAGGCGACAGTAGGAGGGTGAAAATTACTTTACGACCTATTGTCATACAGACCAAATATACAAAAAAACATTAAAGTCGGTCGAGACGTTTCAGAGGAGTGCGACAAACACCCTGACACAAGATATTTGTATATTAGATTATTAATGTGGTTCATTATCTATAATATAATGAATTCGATAGAATATAATGCATTTTAAGCACTTCATTGTAAAACTAGTGATGTACCCTCGCTTCACAAGGTCGCATCACTAGGTACGTTTTAAGTTTTTTGAGTGGAAACCTAATTCTTTTTCTAAAATAAAAGTAGCCTAAGTCACTCCTTATAACATCAGCTATTTGCCAGTGAAAGTCCCGTCTTGTCCAGCGTTTTCGGAGATTAGCCGAAACAAACAGACAACAGACAGACAAATTTTAATTATTATGTTTTGTTATAAGTAGGTATACCGTATTCAATTTCATATCCATTTAGTAAAAATTGTTATTTTGACATTATACACCGACACTTCAATTTTGTTTATCTGTAGGTATAGATATGACGATTTTAGAGCACACGGAATATATGGCATAGTAATACCGAAAACCTCATCAAAAGTAAATTAATAATGCAAAGCGTGAGCCGCCAAGGTGTCGTTCCAAGTTTATTGCCAAGTTATTTTCGTCATAATGTAACTTACCGTGAAATTGCCTAACTCTACATTGGTACTGACTGTAGTACAAGTACTTAGGGCCAATATGTAAATAGAAAATAAACTTTTTTATTCGTGTATCCGATGCCCAGTTTTTACGTTTTTAAATTCAATAAAAATTATGAAATTTCATGCTAGTATGTCACTTTTTCGAGGAATAACTTACAATAAGCCTTCCTTAACGCACTACGTTATTATTTTTTGAGTTAACAACTTTATAACACTTGTTAAAATGTAATGTTGATAATTTACAATATTAATAATGTACTTAAAAAAACAGAAACACAAATAAAAAGATTTGGAAGCTTTTATAAAGCTGCTATTACATTCCAAATATCTCGCAGGCACTTACTTTTCCAAATTTATTATTTTAATTAATTTTTTACGCCAGCTTATGAAATAATAAAGTTGCAATAAAACGATCGTACCACATATTGCAGCTATCGTAAGATACGAATAGTTAAATATCGATTTATGAGATTTTTGAATGGCTTAATATCGGCGATTTTAGATAATATTTCATTCTATTATTAATATGCTGAATTTATAATCAAACAAATGTTATTCCTACAGAATTAAAAGAGACTTACTCTTGCGCGTGCATTTGCTATATTCTGCTACTAGGTAGGCATTATGAATGAATCTTATTAATTTTGGATTGTTGTATTTTTTTAAAAAACACAAATCTTGATTTAAATCTATCAAGTTTATTTGTTTAATATAATTGTATTTTTAAATTCAGTTATTAAATAAATATATTTCTTAATTGGGTATTAGTAAAAATATTTTTTCAGATAACCATCGTTACAACCACCTTATAAGTAAATACTGGATGCAGTTAGAACAATTCAACATGTTTTCCATTTTATTATATATTCTTAGAAATCTAAGAAGCGCACGCGAAGAATTCATTAGAAACTATGGAGCAATGAAATTCCGGACCCGACACAATGTAACAATGCTTACAAATACAAACTGTACAACAAATTTTTCTATAGTAAAGCCGTACAGGTTTACTTGACATTAAAATGTATTTATTGTCTGTTGCTCGCATATGCTCTTGTTATTTAATTTCTTATACATAGAAATGTCAAGATTTTTCAGTAAAACCGGTTTTCCAGCTAAAGTAAAAAAGCTACTATTCATAATGACATTCATTATAAATTGATAAAATTGCAAAGAAGTTTAAAATTAGCCGTTATTTTGAAACGCACAGACAAACGGCATAACAATTCATTGATTGTTTGAATTTGTATCATGAAATGGTAAACAAGCAAATGATGCATTCTTTTAGCTCAGAACATGTTTGGAAACATAGTGAATGAAAGTGTTTAAAAAATTTAAGTAATACGGTACATATAGGAAAAATACTATTTTCCTAGAGAAATATCTCAGTTGAGTGTTTAAGTAAAAATAAATATATATGAAGACTAAAATCAAGTTGAAGATGCCATGTCATCATCTGATAATATAACCGAGGATCTATGTAATATTTGCGACGGACACGTAGAGTGCGCACCCACAGCTATTCTACTGATTTCTCTAATTCATACGTTATATGGGCATATTGGACCGGAACCAGACTATTTTAGGAAAAACCAAGAATTACTTAAATCAGAAAATAAGGTTAGTGTAGATACAAAGATTAAGTCAATTTATAAATATAAATTTGTAAACGACGATAATAATGGAGATGATTCGGAGGAAGAGTACGACTTCATCGTGGTAGGCGGAGGCACTGCAGGCTGTGTCATTGCTAGTAGACTGTCAGAAAATAGAAAATGGAAGGTAAATGTTTATATGTTATTAATATAATCTATATCTATGTAATAGTTACCCGTTTATTTAATTTTGAAAATAGCATTTATCAAAACAATATAAAGTATTAAAAAATTTAACATGCGTGTTACTGATTTTTTTTCCTTTTTTTAACATACATATATTATTCTGTGTAAAGTGGTTAATTTATATAATAAAACAAAACAGTATCAATAAAACAGGATAAATTTAATTTTTAAGGTTTTACTTGTAGAAGCTGGTCCTGAAGAACCCAAAATGGCATTAATCCCAGGTCTCACCAGCGAGTTCAAGGGCTCTGCGCTGGACTGGCAGTACTCGATGCGGCCCAGAAGAGGGTAATATTTAGCTCAATAAGATATTCTATTTTCAAAACATATTAATACCTGTCAGACCCAGTTTTTAAAATATTATTTAAAATATCTTTCTATTACTTCAACTTACTTTAATTCGTCAAAGTACTTTGTAAAGCTGTAGTCATTAAGTTATATATTGCTTGAAGTTGACTTAATATATTACTTTAAATTTATATTAACTTAATTAATCAAAGTACTTATTTAAAACGTTTCAGATTTTGTCAAAATCGTAACGTAAAAGGCTGTGAGGTAGTGCAAGGCAGAGTTGTTGGGGGAACGTCTACAATTAACGACATGGCGTACATGAGAGGCAGTCCTGCGGATTACGACGAATGGGCTCTTAACGGCAATGAAGGGTGGAGTTTTAGCCAAGTGCTGCCCTACTTTAAGTACTCAGAGGGGAATTACGACAAAGATATATCAAAGAATAAATTCTTCCACTCCATGCAAGGGCCACTAGACGTAGGCCGGTATCCGTATGTCGACGACAATGTTGATGTGCTTCTCAGTGCATTTAATGAACTTGGTTACAATTATACAGATGTTAATGGACGAAATCAGTTAGGTTTTATGAGGATACAGACTATGTCATATTTTGGAGAACGTGTTAGTGCGTACACTGCGTTTATTGAGCCTATTAGGAAATTAAGGACTAATATAAACATAGTTACACATGCTCTAGTAACTAAAGTAATCATCGAGAATAAAAGGGATAATCTTAAGGCAGTAGGAATAGAATATATAAGAAATGGTACGAAAGTGGTAGTAAAAGCATCTAAGGAGATTATTGTAAGCGCAGGAGCTATAAATTCACCAAAACTTCTCATGCAGTCTGGTATAGGACCAAAAGAGTATTTAGAATATTTAAATATTAAAGTTTTGTATGATTTACCTGTTGGAGGTAATTTTCATGATCACCTTTCTGTTTGTTTACCAGTTATAAAACTGTCTAAAACAGCTACAACTTGCAAATTTCCAGAAAAATTAAAAGATATAACAAATTATTACTCACAGGGGCTTGGACCCCTTTCAGCTAACTTTCAAGTGATTGCTTTTTTTGAAAGTAGTATCTCAGAAATTTTAGGAACACCTGACATAGAATTTAGATTTCGAGGACATAATTCAAATATGTATTATGATAAAATAGATGTATGCATATCTCTATTGACGCCGAAAAGTCGAGGTCAAGTTGTATTAAATGCAACGGATCCTACTTTTGGAACACCCTTGATTTATCCAAACTTTTTAAAAGATCCAAATGATGAAAAGAAAATATTAGAAGGAATACAGGAGGTTGTGAGATTGTTTGATACAAACGTCTTCAAGTATGCAGATTTTGAATTTGACCCACAGCCTATATTAAATAATGAGTGTAGGGAATATGAACGTGTCACTCAAGAATTTTGGTCATGTATAATAAGACAATTTACAGCCCCATTGCATAATTATGTTGGAACTTGTAAGATGGGTCCTGGGAAAGATCCAGAATCTGTTGTTGATAACAATTTACGGGTGTATGGTGTAGAAAATGTAAGAGTTGTTGATGCATCAATAATACCTAAAATAACAAGGGGATCTACCGCTGCTCCTGTGATAATGATAGCTGAAAAAGCGAGTGATTTAATTAAAAGTACTTGGTATTAAAATATTTTTTATTTACATGTTATTTAGAGTACTATAAAAATATCTAAGCGTAATAATACTATAACTTATTAACTTAAATTACAAAAAGTTGGTCTTATTTTCTTTCCAGTCTTTTACAATCAGTTTAGTTCCTTTTTCAGCAATCATAACAGTTGGTATATAGATACCTCCTCGAACATGTGTTGGCATCACTGATCCATCTACTATTCTCAGCCTTTCAATACCATGAACTTTGAGGTCATAGTTGACTACAGAAGTTGTTCTATTTTCTCCCATTCGACAAGTGCCTATCGGGTTACCTAACGCTTTTGTATAGTGTCTCGCTATACAGTTCCACTGATCTCTGTTCTGTAACCTGTCACAAGGAAACAGATCCAGCGGAGCTAGTTTTATGTCAGCCTTTTTCAGATCTTTTGTGTCGAGCATTTGCAAGGCTATGTCCACGCTGTCGATGATGGCATCCAAGTCTTCAGGCTCCTTTAAGAGATTAGCCTGTATAACAGGTCGACCATATTTTGGATTTCTTTTATTTAATGTTACTTTACCTTTACTTTTTGGTTTTAACAATACTGGATTAATTATTACTAAATTGTAATATGGCAATGGCAAGCTGGACTCTTCAGCTGTGTGCACAGTTACATTAGTTAGCATAAATTTGTCACTTCTGATGTAATTCCCTTCTAAAGCTAATTCTATGTCAGGACCATTTTTGTTTTCGAAAAGTTGAATAAATGCTGATATTTGGTTTATTCCTCTTGAAGCTAACGGCCCCCCTCTACTCTGAAACCAAGTTTTGAAATCTTCTATGACTTGACTTTCACTGAATGGCGTTACTTCATTTAAAGTAAAGGCTAATCCTCCAGTTGTAACTTGATCTTGATAATTAGCTCCCACAGGAAGGTCGGCTATTACGGAAATATTATGTTTTGCTAGTTCTGCTGTTGGCCCTACACCTGATAGATGAAGTAATCTAACGTTGTTTATAGCACCTGTGGTTAAAATTGTCTCCTTTTTAGCATATGCAGCTTGCTCTTTGCCTTTTTCAATTTCATATATTACTCCTTCTACTGTTTTTTCTTGTTCATCTATAATTAATTTTGTTACTGTCGCCTTGGTTTTCACGGTTAAATTCTTTCTTTGTCTAACTGGCCTAAGAAAAGCACTATTTGTACTGAGTCTAGTGTTGTTGAACATGACATATTGGTTATTCACAGCGGCTTCGGGTACATTCGTATTTATATCAACAGCCCGAAATCCTAGTTCTCCGAATGCGCCCAAGAATAGCTCCATGTATCGATCAATATATTTGAATCTTTGCACATGCATTTCTCCGCCACGAGAATGATAGAAAGAATTCATCAAGACATCATAATCACCTAAAAATATTTCAAATTATGAAATAAACATTAGAGAAACTCTATCTACGGAATAAGAATACGTAATACGAAGTTAATTAATACTTGTAACCTTCCCCAGCTTATTATACAAGTGATTATAATTGTAATCTTTATAAGTGTGTAATGTAGCGAATTTTTATGTTTATATTGAGGAAGATATTAAAAATGGAGTTATTGATTCTGGAAGATTCTATATGTGCTTATAATCTGATTTTGCGCTGTTTATGTGTAATTAGGTTAACTTAGTCATAAACACTAAGTTTCACACACTCACCGTTGTCTTCAGAATTTTTAAAATGTTCAATTAAGTTTTCAAACTTCCAGTCTAACGAGCCCATTTCACCATTACTATGCCAAGCGTCGTAATCTTTTTTTGTCCCTCTTGTATATTTCATGTCATTAGTGACACTGGACCCTCCTAAGACCTTGCCTGTCTTGACTTCACAAGTGCCCCCAGGTCTTGAAAGGCAGGAAAAGCCATTCCTTTCTGTTCGGAAATTCCAAAGTATAGGGCGAAATTCCTTAGTGGGTACTCCGGGGATATTGTAATCTATATTTTCTTCATCTCCAGCCTCTATGACTAAAACCTTAAAAAAGTATTTATTATACATGTGTAGACGTCATAGCATGAAATTAATCGAAAAAATAGTTATTTCTTATTTTACGAAGCGTTATATTTTTTTATTAGTAGCGAAAAAGGTTTTTTAAACAAGGCAAAAAGGTTCGACCATTTGTCTATGAAAACAGGCATAAGCCTCCTATTTTATTAAAATAGGGAGGCACGATATAACTATAAATCTATAGATAGAGGACACCTATAATACCAAACAACCAAAAAGCATAAAATCGTCTAGGATTGTATAGGATCTAGATAATATACACAAATTTAATCTTACTAATATTATAAAGAGATAAAGTTTGTAAATTTGTGAGCATGATTGTAGGAAGCAATATCTGGAACTACTGAACTCGTTTAGATAAAAGCTAAGAAGATAGTTTGCGACCCTGGAAAGGACATAGGATAGTTTTCATCCTGGAAATGATTCCTTAATGGGGTGAAAATGCGGATGAAAATTTGTATAGGGAATCAACCCAAAGTGTTCTTGTAAAAAGCTAAAGCATCGTTTTTAAATATTCTACTGCAGATTAATTTTATTTCCATACCTTCCAATCAGAAATTGCTGACAGCCGGTTAGCGAGCACACATCCGGCCGTACCTCCGCCCACTATGATAAAGTCAAACACACTATTCTGCAGATTCTTCTCGTCTGCTTTGGTTTTTGTAGCCTTCGAGAACAAATCCCCATTCACTGTGGTCACCGTGGCGAGGGCGGTTAATGTGATGAGGCTGAAGTAAATCATTTCTTTATCAATAATTTTTAAGAAGTCTTGATGAAATATGGATTAAAATTGTAGAATCTGATTTGTTTGAAGAGTAAAATAAAAGAAATCTGAGTGAAAAATTGTTTTCTTATTTTTCTTCCCTCTCTCTCTCTCTATTTTTCTATCTTTGTGTTCATACCCCACAAAAAAAAGTAAAATAACACTGTACCCAATAGAAATGTAATGATACCAACGTCGCAATTACGTAGAAGCTAAAACAATTGTAATCAAAATAATGTTACCTTAATAGTAATAATTAAAACAAATGATTATTGTTTTGCTGTTTGTTAGTTTTTAGATTTTTAGATTATATTATGATTCACTTAACACTCTAATTTACTACCTATTATTTTTAGTGAGAATTTTAAGATTGACCAAATTAAATCTATACATATAATAAAATTCAAATAATAATAATAAAATTCAAATTCCAAGCCGAATCTGTACATTAAATATTTTTTGGAAAATCTTATTGAAATAAACATTATTATCGATACAGAGGCCAAATCTATAGTTATTAGAATTTTTGTCTGTCTGTCTGTCTTTCTGTCTGTCTGTTACCGCAACACAGAAAAACCACAGGAAGGATTTTGATGAAATTTGGTATGTTGATAGCTGGTTATCCGGGTCAACATATAGGATACTTTTTACCGCGGGAAAATATCTCATTTTTGAGAAGAAATACAAAAACCACAATGTAAGAGTATACTAATATGTAAAACCTAAGAATTTGGTATTTGGTCACCTGAACGCAGGCGGAGCCGCGGGTAATGCTAGTGAGATATATTTCATAATTATTTTTTTTAATAGATAACCAATGTTATTAAATCTGGCATGTTGAATTGGGATAAGTACGTACCTGACACACGTTTGAATCCCCATTTCAACACTAGACGCGTTGTGCTCCTCTACCACTTGCCTCGGGTCTGAGGAATGATTACCGACTAGAGAAAAGGAAGTAATGTGTTCACGCTTCAGCGCACATCCTGCGAGCAAGGATTCACCCGCAGGAAGAGATTTTAAAAACCGTTATATAATTAGGTCCGGTTTTCAAATGTTATTTATATATTATGTTCGTTTATGCGTAACACTTATCCGTAATAAATAATCGTGCGTGGTGTGTTAGATTTTAACGAGTCTGTTTGTATGTCATATAGAATTGCTTTACAGTTTTGCTGATCATTGCTTTTAGATTTTATTTGTTTTTCATAAGAAATGTACTAAATTTTATATTTTTATACACTAGTGATCCACCCTAGCTTTTGTCAGGTGTTAAGTAATATACAGACTTGAAAATATGTATATACAAACTTACAAAGCTTCCCAGTACTCATATATGTACGTACATACATACATAACTACATACAAATATTACATATTTGTTACGTTCAGACTAATTCCAAGCTATCCGCCATTAATCGCACGTAAAGTCAAATGAAATAAGTTATAAGAACATTCAATAACAACAACAATTGTAAGTATATTATAAGTAAAAAATAAATACGTTTCAATTATAACTATAACACATATTTTCATTATTCAATGTAATTTTAATTATTGTAATATTAAAATGTTTGTCATAGCGCAATGTAATAGAAACTAGCTTTATCTACTGTCCTGGTGCTTACAGGTTCACATTCCAATGAAAATTAAAAAATCTTTATTTAATATTGGTATTTCTTTTTAATTTGAAATGGGCGCTTTTTATTTATTTTTAATTCTACCTGCACATCGGAAAATATGTATATTTGAGTAGAGAGAGAGAGAAAGAGAGGGAGAAAGAGAGAAATTTGCGGAAAGAAAGTCAACATTCGTTTAAGGACATAAAATTAATAGGAATAATAATTTTGTATAAATGCATAGATGGCTTTTTTATCCCCACTCCACGTGTGGGCAAAGTCGTCGTAGCTAGCAATAATTTAAAATAATCAACATAGTTCATTAAGGACGCAACTGACAGAAGGGTTCCGGTAATCAAACAAATCTTACATCATTTTAAAATATTGTTAAATAAATTATGAAATTATTTGTTTCCCGCGGCATTGCTTGCTTACATTTAATATAATGAAGTATATGTACCTAGAACTAGATATGGTATGTATGTATGTATGTATGTATGAATGTATGTATGTATGTATGTATGTATGTATGTATGTATGTATGTATGTATGTATGTATGTATGTATGTATGTATGTATGTATGTGTATATTCTATGTTCCTTCGTCAACTTGTTCTCTTCTTTTTAGTTCGCTTTTACCGCAGTCAGGTTTTTTTTTTATTTTAGTAATTAATCTTGGTCACTAGTTTCCTTTCATTATTTTTTGAATAATTTTTTTAGGCGCATCGAACTCGCCCACTCTGATGTATCGCTGTCAGTGAGACATATACCACAATGGTTCTTGTTATATTATAATACTAGCGACTCACCCTCGCTTCCCACGGGTTTGTCCTTAGCTTGCTTCCCAATACAAACTTACATCCCCATTTTCACCCCCTCAAGGGATGATTTCCGGGATAAAAAGTATTTTATGTCCTTCTCAGGGTCTCAAACTATCTTCTTATCAAATTTCATCTAAATCGGTTAAGTGGATAACCCCCTACAACGTTTTAAACTCACAAACTCACAAACTTTACCTCTTGGCTCTTTATAATATATAGTACATATAGATATGTATAACAATTAAATAATTAATATTTTAAATTTACATTTAAGTGTTTTAGAATACAAATAAACATTAATATTAATAAAATTGAATTCCAAGTTTTGATTACATTGTTGTAATTAAATTGAAGTGAAACTAATAAAAACGCGTTGTAAATAAAAAAGCATGAGTTTATTAATTGCATAGGAAAGGTAAATTTCAAAATTATTAATTAGATTATAAAAATTCTTTCATAAATAAGAAGTTAAATCATCCCTAGTGATATAGGCTGAGCCTATTTTAACAAAACTATTGATTTCTATGAGGATAATATTATTATCCTATATTGAAAAATGATAGTTAGGTTCAAAGTAAAGTAAGGGCGGATCGCTACTTATTAGTTACATAAAGTGTTACAACGCCCAAAACGATAAGGTTTCCGGTAGGCGGCACTCCGTGAGATAGTCTACCGGAAATTAAACTGACCACAGTAGTTTATGGTCACCATGATTCTTAAGTTATGGTTATCTTCCTAAACTTATGAGATGCTAGATAATATTAAGTGCATTTGCTTTGATCTATGTTAGAAATAATGATGTTTTGCAGATATACATAAATGTAACTAGAATATTACGTTCCCTGGGTTGAGGTACATTGTGCATCGTACAGTAAATCGATCTATTATTTATTTTCTATATTTATTTGAAATAAGTAGTAATTTTTATTCAAACACTATTTTTCAAAATCAATATCGAATTTCTGTACGGTTTTTTAGTACAGCAATAGTTTGTGATTTCCTTTAAACAAAACTTAAATTTGCTTTTGATATTTTTTTTATTAGAAATGGGCATACTCTTGACCTTCATCTTAGCTCAAAGGTATAGACAAGGTCTAAGATCTAGCGAGTTTGTTAAAGCTACAGCGAAATAAAAATAGCATAAAAAAATCTAGGCAAAATACTTTTAATGTGTCTAAATTTCAAAGCAATCATTAAATAACTTTTAGAGATGTATATTTTTGCACCAATGAACTATTAGAAAGCATCAGTTTATAATATGTAAGTATCGATTGTTTGATTTATTTTACAACGACATCTAGTGCCGTGAAGCAGAACTACTATATAAATAATGCTTTGCTTAGATTACTTTATAGTATTATAGATGGCGCTGCTACGATAAAAATACGAATATTTTGAGAAAATATAACAAGAAATATGTATAATCAAATTATAGACTAAATAGCAGAACCCCCGGCTTCACTCGCGCTAAAACTATAAAAAAAGCTCTAAAAAGGTAGGTTTCATACAAACGTTTATCCCCAATTTTACTGTATTTGTTTCATTGTATTGAAGAGCATTAATACCAAGTTTCAAGTAGTTCTGATCATAAATATTTTTTTGAGTTGTATTACAATGTGTTTTCGCGTGGGAATAAGATAATCTCCCTCTCCTCCTCCTCCAACTATCTCTGTACAAAAAATCATGCCAATTCATCACTCCGTTTCGGCGTGAAAGAAGGACAAACAATAATTAATTAAATATTTAATTAAGAATTTAAATAAGTTATTAAAATAACATAATATAAAATATTTTCTTCAAATAAAAAAGTATGACGTGTTTATTCATAGGTACATCACTATAAAGGTGAATCTGATTGCAAATTGCCTATGTGTACTAACTGGTCAACGTCAAAACTAAAGAAATACACATAAAAATATATGTGATAGTTATGTATATACCCATGATATCTAAAAAACTTATTACAATATCGATATTTCGATTAAATACAAAAAAGACTGTCTGAACGTTTGCGTTAATAGCTCGGTAAGTTGCCAGTTACAGCAGAACTCGTAGCATCCTATAATTACGTGCTCTGAGATCATAAATCAATGCTGTCTTATTTATTACTGTGAAATTACCCAATGAATTGAACTTATTCTATAAGTGGAATGCGATATGAAGATAGGGATGTAAGTGTAGTGTAAAAATATAAGCACTAGCTATCCGCCCCCTTCAGGTCCTATCGAATTGTAGTTGTCGTGGTTATATTTTGTTATTAAACATTTTTCTTTAATCTGAGTAAAAATTTTAAAGTTTATTTTATGACATTTCATTTTAAAACTAAGATTACACACTTGTTAATAGTTTGTCTCCCGCAAGTCAAAGGTGTTTATCTACTGACCATAAATTCTTCTTTACACGACTCTATGAGTAATAAAAAATGTTGACATTCATCCTTATATTAAAAAAATGTAATAACTTAAACAAGTATTATACTACGAGATATTTAACATATAGTTTTTTTTAAATTATTAATAATATTCATTTGGATTTAGCC